CTGCTTCTCTCTCACTGCTTTCAGGATTCTCTGTTTTTACTTTTTGAGAGCCTAACTATGATGTATCTTAGTATAGGTCTCTTTGCATTTATCCTGCTTGGGGTTCTTTGAGCTTCTTGGATTTGTAGATTCATCTCCTTTGTTAGATTGGGGAAGTTTTCCGTAATTATTTCTTCAAATATTCTTTCTGTCCCTTTCTCTTGTCTCATCTACTTCTGGAATTCCTGTGATGCTTATATTAGGTCTCTTGTTGTTGTCCCATAATTCCATTAAACTGTGCTCAGACTTCTTGAGCCTCCGTTCTTGTTGCTCTTCAGCATCTGTAATTTTAACTATCTTATCCTCTAATTTGCTGATCCTTTCTTCTGTCTGATTAAATGTTTTGACAAGTCCTTCTATTGTTTCTGATTTTATTTATTGTGTCAGTTGCATTATCTCTTTTTTTAGATCCTCATTTTGTTCTTGCATTGTTTTCCTTATTTCTTTTAGCTCTTTGTCTTATGTTTTCCCTTAGTTCTTTAATTGTGTTTAATGTTGTTGTATTATATTCTTCCATTTTATTCACTGTTTGGTCATCCCTAGACACACTTTCACTCCCTTTGTCATGTTCATTTGGATGGGCTGTTGTTTCTCTGTTCTTTGTGTGTCTTGTGATTTTTTGTTGGGGCATTGGAATTTTCAAGGGTGTTAACTTCCTCAGTTTTCCCCAGTATTTGATGTTTTTGCCTGCACTCCTTTCTGTAGGGAACTCTTAGGTGGGCAGAGCCTTTGGCCTTTGCTTACTGTTTCTCCTCCCTCTCTTTGATAACTCCTTCTCCCTCCCTGGTTTAATTGGGATTCAGAAGTTCCAGATCTTGTTTTTTAACTTTCAGTCTCTCCCAAACACACCAGAGAACAGTATGTGGTCAGTCTGTCCACTAGCGGGCATCACCTCTCAGACGAGATACTGTATGCTAATCAGTCTGTCCACCAGGGAGCTCATTCCCCTTTCTCTGGTTATTACTCCTTTCCATTCTCTGTTTCTGCAGTCACGTTTTTAGTTGGAAAACCCACACCCAGCGAGCCCTCTTCAGGACTGGGGGGGTGTTGCCCTCCAATTTTGCTTGAGGTTTCCTTCCCTGCTCTGTGGGGGTTGCTTATATCTGAGCTGGCATTCAGGGGAAGCACAGGCAGACTTTCCTTTGTTTCAGGAGGAGGAGGGGCTGGCACTCCCCAGAAGGACTTCTGAGAGATCTGTCTTGTTGGTTTCAGAGCTCCAGTGGCCCCGTGGTGGTTGGGGAAGCAGTCTTCACTAAGGTGACTCACCTCCTGACTCCACTGTAGGGAACCTTCTGTCGGAATTTGTATCAGTCCAGCAGCAGACAGTTACCAGCTGGGGGAGGGGTAGTCACACTCCTAACGAACCCCCAGGGAGGTGTGCTTTGTTGCTAAAAGGGCCTACCCTGTAGTATGATGGCTGTGGATATAGCCTCCACTCAAGATGCTTGCTTGCTATCACACAGCAGCCTCAGCAGTCCTCAGCACTGAGGAGCAGACAGACCCCAACTGATCCCAGGGAGGTCCGTCTTGTTAGTTTCAGAGACCTGAGCTATGGGCTGCACAGGGAGGCAGGTAGAGTGCTGACTATGGGAGCAGACTCTGTTGTGGGCACCTTCTGTAGTGGTTTGCAACAACCTGGCAACCAACAATTAGCAGGTGGGGGAAGGAGTGTCACGCTCTGGTCAGATCCCATGGAGTCCTGCCTTGTTGCTGTCGGAGTCCCCCTGGTAGATTGTTGGCTGTGAGTGCAGCCTCTGCTCAAGACTCCTGCTTCCTAACACACAGCAGCCTCAGTCAGCAGTCCTGAGCACTAACTGGAAGTGGGAGTGGACTAACCCTGATTGACCCCCGGGGAGGTTTGTCCTGTTGGTTTCAGAGGCCAGAGCTTTGGGGTGCACAGGAAGGCAGGTAGAGTGCTGACTGTGGGAGCAAACTCCACTGCAGGGCCCTTCTGTAGCAATTCACAGCAGGCTTGCAGGTGACAGTGTCCAGGTGGGGGAGGTATTGTCACACTCTAAAGGGACCTCCAGGGAGGTCTGCCTTGTTGCAGTCAGAACCCTCCCTGTAGTATGTTGGTTGTGGGTATATCCTCCATTAAAGATGTCTGCTTCTTAGCACACAGCAGCCTCAGCAATCCTCAGCACTGACTGAAAGGGGGAAGAGACAGACTTGAACTGATTCCCCAGGAGGTCTGTCTTGTTGGTTTCAGAGGTCTGAGCTATGGAGTACGCAGGGAGGCCAGTAGAGTGTTTACTACGGGAGCAGACTCCACTGCATGGGCCTTCTGTAAGAACTTGCAGATTCTTGACGACCCTTGATTAACTATATTATTTTTGTAAAGAATAAACTTAAGGATATTATACTTACAACAATGTTGTTTCAGCATTGCTCTTTCTCAAACCTTTTGTGACCGAAAAAGAATTTAGTCCTGTGTGCAGTTCATTTCAGACTTCTCTGATCTTCATGGAAGTCACTTATACTCAAGAATGTGTTTTGTCCACACATGATTTGAGATTAGTTTTTCTTCTCTTCATGTACCGTAGTTTCCCTTCAGAAGTAATGGTGGCATGGTTAACCTTTCTCCTCACCTTCCCTTTGACGCATGTGGGTACCTAATTAGCCATGGATTAAGATTTGTTTTTAAATTTTTTTTATTGTACTTTAGATGAAGGTTTACAGAACAAATAGTTTCTCATTAAACAGTCAGTACACATATTGTTTTATGACATTGGTTAAGAACCCCATGACATGTCAACACTCTCCCTTCTCCATCTTGGAGGACCTTTTTTTTTTTTGGTGAAAATATATGTAGCCAAAGATACACCATTTCAAAATTTTCTACATGTACAATTCAGTGACATCAATGACATTCTTCCAGTTGTGCTGCTGTTCTCAGTATCCTTTTCCAAATTATTCCATCACCATTATCTTCAACTCACTGTCCCCTAGGCTTCCCATCAAACCTTTTGAGTTGCTGTTGTCAATTTGATCTCACATAGATAATTCTTTTTTTTTTTTGTACTTTGGATGAAGGTTTACAGAACAAATAGTTTCTCAGGATTAAGATTTTTAAGGAAAAGTTTGTTTCTTAATAAAATACCAGTAACTGAGACCTACAAGTTTGTCCTAACAAAGAGAAGGTTCAGAATTGCCCTAGTTGAATAGGTGTTTTCTGGATAGCTAAGTACTTCCTGAAAATTATAAAAATATGTTCTAGACAGGGGTTGGCAAACCTTTTCTGTAAATAGATAGTGAAATATTTTAAGCTTTGTGGCCCACACACCGTTTGTTATCAGTTCCATATTCTTCTTTGTGTGTGCGTATTTTTTTTTTTAGAACAACCCTTTAAAAATGTAAGAGTCATTCTTACCCACTCCCTACCCTCGAGTACAAAAATAGGTAGTAGTTGTAGTTTGCTGACCCGGCTCTGGTAGAAAAAGTCCTTATCATGACCAGGGCTCCTTGGAGAAAATGGCAGATTATAGAGTCGGAGTAGGGAAAATACAAGAGGAGTCCAGAGCTTCTTGTAATACCAGAAAGTTGGAGAAAAGGATGAGGCATGTCAGAAGAACCCAGTAGTCAACTTGAAAGAGCTCCATGGCCAAAGCTGGATCAATTTGAGCCACATAGTAAGCAACGGTAGTAATGGAGCCCTGGTGGTATAGTGGTTAAGCGCTGGGCTGCTAACTGAAGGGTCGGTGGTCAGAACCCACCAGCGGCTCTGTGGGAGAAAAGACCTGGCAATCTGCTCCCATAAAGATTAGAAAGAAGAAAAAAAAAACCATTTGTCATCAGGTTGATTCCGACTCATAGTGACCCTATAGGACAGAGTAGAACTGTCCCATAGGGTTTCCAAGGCTGTAATCTTTATGGAAGCAGACTCTACATCTTTCTCCCAAAGAGCAGCTGGTGGGTTTGAACCACCAACCTTTTGGTTAGCAGCCCAGTGCTTAACCACTGCGCCGCCAAGGCTGCTTCCATAATGAGTGGGAATTGACTCGATGGCGTACAACAACAATTATGTATAACCCACATAATAAACATCCACGAGTCCGTGCTGTTTAAATGCCTTAATAAATAAATGGGGGAGGGTGGGATGGACAGGCAGATCTTCCTTACAGAAGAATTCCAATTAATAAATGTAGAACGAATGAGGGAAATAGAACATCACAGTAATAATTGCTGCAGGCAAGATCCACTGATGGATGCAGTAGTGGGCCTAGCTTTAGTGGAGAAACCGAGTATTTACATAACCTCAAAGTATTGCCTCAAACACTTATTAATTACTGTAGTTGTTTCAACACACATGTACAAATTCTTTGATGCTCCTCTTTCCCGGAAGTATAGTTCAGTTCCTTTCCCTGCATGTGTGCGTCGGACTTTGTGACTTGCTTTTAAGGAATAGAGTATGAAAAGGGAAAAACCATAATGTTCCCGTGGTGAAACCTGTCAGGAAGCACCCAACCCATGTGAGCAAAGTTATCACCACCAGCAATAAGACACACTGGCTTCATGTGCTGCTCATATGATGTGGCAGAAAGGACAGTTCAACCTGTGTTAGTCTCCCCAAATATCTATAATCTCAGTCTGATCATGAGAACATGTCAGACGAACCGGTTTCATAAATAGTATTGTACCAATGTCATTGTCTCAGTTTTGATAAGTATATCCTGGTAGTGTAATATGTGACTATTAGTGGAAACTGACAGAAGGGTCTATGAGAGCTCTCTGTACTATGTACCATCTCTGCAGTTCTTGTGTAAATCTGAGATGGTTTCACAATAAAAAGTTACAAACAACCAACTCTGTATCCTGGATTGATCATCAGCTTTATCTTGAGCATTTAAGCATTAATTATTTAACTACCGGACCCATTTATATGTGAGGGGAAATGTACTGGTTCACTAATTAAAGTTGATTTTGGAATGTACATGTTTTTAATACTCTGTCTCTCTTTTCAGGGGAGGCATCTGCTGCAGAAATTTCCTTATCTTTCGTGATCCTATCTGTGTGCAGTTTAATGCTATTAATAGTGTTAATTGCAAACTGCGTATCCTGCTGTAAGGAACCAGAAATAGACTTTAAGGTGAGCACAGGTGGTAGGAACGTTGAAATCGTCTTTCAATATGTTAATCAATAGAATGGCAGATACATCAGAGTCCCTTAGGAGCAGGGGTTGGCAGACTTTTTCTGAAGGGCCAGGGTGTAAATATTTTCAGCAATAGTAAATAGTAAATATTGTGGGCCATACTCAGACACAAATCTCTGTCACTACTACTCAACTCTGCCATTATAGCTTAACAGCAGCTGTAAAGAGTATGGAAACAAATGGTCGTGGCTGTGTGCCAATAAAGCTTTACTTTATTTACAAAAAGGAGCATTGGTGGCACAGTGGTTAAAGCGCTTGGCTGCAAACCGAAAGGTTGGCAGTTCGAATCTACCAGCTGCTCTGCGGAAGAAAGATGTGGCCGTCTGCTTCTGTAAAGATTTACAGCCTTGAAAACCCTATGGGGAATTCTACTGAATCCTATAGGGTCACTGTGAGTAGGAATCGACTGGAGGACACTAGGTTATTTACAAACATAGGCGAGTTGGATTCGGCCCACAGGCTGTAGTTTGTTGGCCCTTGCTTAGAGGGTCATTGATAATAACCATCTGCCTTTGGTGAACTTAATTTTTTGCTAAGGGAGGAATAAAGCATGATGATTGAACTCACTTGCTTTGAGGGCCTGTAAGGAAGAACAGGCTGGTTTTGATTTTTTTGTAGGCCTGGTATATTTGTGGTCATTAAGATTGTTGAATCACAGAGATCCCTCAGTGTGCTTTGTGTGTGATGAGGAACAGCATCTTTAGTTTTCCTCAAAACCTCAAGTTCCCTAAGGGGGAGAAGAGGGATGGCTGATGTAATGTCTTGGCTCAGGGGAGGGAGAGCCTGGAAGGGGCCATGCAGCAGCTAATGGGTGAGATCTGCCAGGAAGCCAGTGGAAACCCTGCTCTAGAACTTGCTGCATGCCTGCCTGGCACATATTGGGTCTCAATAAATACTTATTAAAAAGGAATACATGAAAAAAATACTAAAACATATATTTTTATGCATGTATGCAGAGAGGGTGTCCTGGGGGGTCCTGAGGGCCACTGGTTCAGATTGGGGGAAGACATTCCATAAATGTTAGTTTGGTCCATGTGCATTTTACATGTGTGACAGAAAGCTGCGTGCTAGCTGAACCTTTTTGCTGGACACATGAACCTTATTTCTAGAGCCGTGTGCCTGTTTTTATTCTATATTCTATTTACCTTGCATCTGGCGGCAGCTCTTAGGAAGTGAGGAGACATGCTGTCATTTTTTGCTCTTCGCCAGCATTATACACTCAGCGGCTGAGGACAGGAAAGCTGTAGGAAAACAATCATTCCCACAGGTTATTTTCTTTAGAAGAGTTTTCCCCAAATGGTAGGACTTTCTTTCATCAGGATGTCAACCCCTAAACCCTAGGATCACTAGGATCACACCAGTCACTTGTGTGGAAACACACTTGTGGGCGTGTACTTGCAGGAAGAAAATATCTGTGTCCCTTGATTGTCAGTGTTGCTGAGGGACTTTGCAGCAGAAACTTGGCCATTTGGGATAAAGATAGTCTGATCAGTGTTGTTGGTACTTAAATCCAGTCTCTGTCTCACATTTTATGGTACCTCATTCTTGCTTTAGATTGTTCTAACCTTATTGAATCTCAGTATTGAATGAGGGAGTTTATTGTAATGCAGATTTAAGGTGGCACCCGGTAATCTGTATTTTTATTAAGCTTCCCCAGGTGATTCTGATGCAGGTGGCCCAGGAACCAGACTGTATAGACGATCCTCTCCAGCTCTAAAAGCTATGTGACTGAATAAGATTATTACCACCTGGAATTTGTTGGTTTCCTTTAGATTTGATAACTATGCCATTTTAGAGCTGAGTGTTCTCTTGAAAGTTGTTATCTGAATGAATGACCGAGTGGCCTCGATAATCATCTGTATTTTGCCATTATTAAATTAGCATGGACGTCAAGGTTCACGCAGCTCACTGGAATGCTGGTAAAGAATCAAGAGAGCTTTCATCTAAACAGTCATTTCAAAAGTTTCTATAGACTTATTGCTGCATCCTCAACTTTTAAGTTGACATCTTGAGAAAAACTAGAAATTTTTAGTATGTTAATTATGCTTAAGTGCTCCAGTTTTATACTGACGTTCATGGCTCAGGTCCTAATCAGTTTCTACCTAGCTGAATAATTTTTCCCTTGTTAACCTTTTCTAGAGCAGTAATTGCTTAAGAGTGTGTTTTCACTGTCCTTTGATAGAAATCACGTTGCAACTACAAATGCATATATAATGAAAACTGAATTTGTTTTGTGTTCATTTTCAGTATACAGAGAGATTGGTGAAAGTGAGTAGTTAAAAAAAAACACAACAAAAACGGATAGCTTAAACACTAGTAATTTATAAGTGAACTTTTGAACCTGGAAGAGTATTTCCGTTTTGTTCAGTCACATGGCCATTTTAGAAAATTTTGCATTTAACTTCAAACTGTCAGTTTAAAAAGTTAGTCTACTCTTTGGGATTGGAGAACACAATTGCATATGCTTGTTACTTGAGGTAAGTTTGAGCTGGAAAAAAAATTGCTGGCAGCACGTTCCAAATGAGTGAATGAATGTTCCTATCTTAAATGTTAGCAGATGGTGTTTGTATCTGCTCCCAAACTGACTTATATTAGAGGTGACGTTACTCTTGTTTTATTTTAGGAATTTGAAGATAACTTTGATGATGAGATAGATTTCACACCACCAGCAGAAGATACTCCCTCTCTTCAGTCCCCAGCAGAAGTTTTTACACTTTCAGTACCAAATATTTCACTACCAGCTCCATCCCAATTCCAGCCTTCTGTAGGTAAGACTTGGCCTTCCTGATGGCATAGTTTCATGAATTATTTCGAGAAATGAAAATGGGAGCTTGCTGCTAATTATAAAATATTGGACTACCCATCTCCTCCTTTGCTTGTTTGTTTCTCTTCCTACTCTCTGGCCAAGCTGCATTCTACTGGGCAGGCCCATTACGTTCCTGCAGGAGTTGGGTCTGTTCCTTTCTGGGCCCTGGGTATGAGTAAGAATAAATCTGGTCTCCTTGATTCATCTAAGCTGAACCTTGGACAGTTGGTGGGCTCTATTTTGGTAGTGTAAAATGGAAACATTAAATGTCTATCGATATGTAACTTGTGAAATTATCGTAAATCCATATGATGGAGTATTACGTAGTCCTATAAAAGGATGGAGCCCTAGTGGCGAAGTGGTTAAGAGATCAGGCTGCTAACCAGAAGTCTGTAGTTCGAATCCACCAGCCCCTCCTTGGAGACCCTATGTGGCAGTTCTACCCTGTTCTGTAAGGTTACTATGAGTCGAAATTGACTCAACAGCACACACAACAACAACGACATAAAAGGATGAAGGTAATTTATATTTGACTATGAAAATACTTGTGATATATTAAGTGAAATAGTTGGGCCACATATTCATAAGCAAGTCTAGAAGGAACTCTACCAGTATTTTTCCCCCCTTTTTAAACTGTATTTTTTTTTTTGAATAGATAATATATTCACATGGTTCAAAACCAAAACATAAAAAGGTATATACAGTGACAGTCTTCCTCTAATCCTCAGATCTGACCTCAGTTCCCACCCCCCCACCTTCCCTAGGTAGCCAGTCTTCTTGGTTTCTTCTACGTCGTTCCAGAGTTTCTTGATGCGCATACCCCCCTTCACCACTTTTTTTTAACTCAGAAGTTGCATGGCAAATACACTATTCTGCATCTTATTTTTTTCATTCAACAGTATACCATAGAGATCTTTTCATATCAATAAAGATAGCTTATATATTCTGGTTTACAGTTCATACTATTTAAAGTTGAACAGTTCTGGTTCATAATATTTAAATTGTATGTACTTAGCACCATTTATTTAACCAGTGTCCCATCAATGCATTTTGGGTTGTTTCTAATCTTATGCTATTAAAAATAAAGTCTGCACCTTTTAGCTAAATAACAGATTGTCTCACAGAATAAAGACTGTCACCCATGAGTACTCTGCTGCTTTAAAAAATCATCTATATGGGATCAAACGGTCAGCAGTTACTTTAAAACAAAGATGAGAATATAAGGGGGCAGGGAAACTAGATTAATGGAAACGGAGCAACCAGAATGGAAGTAATGAGAATGTTCATGCATTGTGAAGAGTGTAACCAGTGTCACTGAATAACTTGTGTAGAAATTGTTGAATGGGAACCTAAATTGCTGTGTAAACCTTCACTGAAAACACAGTAAAATATTAAAAAATAAAATAAAGCTTGTATGTAGGTTGTTTTGCACACGTACTGGTATATTTGTAGAATAAATTTTCAAAAGTGGTTCCTTTATAGTTTTGGTGGATAGTGCCAGTCTACTCCTCAGGAGTTGTACCAGCTTATACTCCTGCCAGCTGGAGTATCAAATGGTGTCAGATTGTACATTACTATTTCTATTGAAGCTAGGCTGGTATCAATTCAGAGTAGGTTGTTATACATTCAGGATGCTAACTATGATCCCTATGATAACCACTAAGAAAATAACTAAAAAATATACAGAAAAGTAAATGAAAAGGGAATCAAAATGGTACACAGAAAAAATCAAAACACAAAAAGGGATTTTTTGATGAGGAGTTCCTAATTTTAATATAATCAAGCTTAACATTCTCTTTTAGAGTTTTTTTAAAGAGCTTTTAGAACTGTTTGTGTCAAGAAATCCTTCTCTATTTCATGATCAAAATGATTCTTACCAAGTGTTTTTTTTTGTTGTTGTTTTCCATAAGTTTTAAAGTTTTGCTTTGACATTTAAATCCATAACCCTTCCTGAGTTGGTTTTTGAGTATGGTGTTAGGAGGAAGTCCAGTTTAAGTTTTCATTGTAGATGTCTTTTTTCCAGCTTCGTTTATTGATTAATTCTTCCTTTTCCCTCTGCTTTTTAATTCCATATGTATGTAGGTCAGTTCTAAGCTCTCGGTTCTGTTTCATTAGTTGATTTGTCTATTCCTTGTCCCACTACCACCACACTGTCTTAATTATAATAGCTTCTAAGGTCCCTGGGTGGCACAAATGATTTACATTTGATTACTAATGTAAAGGTTGGTGGTTTGAACCTACCCAGTGGCACCACAGAAGAAAGGCCTGACAATCTACTTTCATAAAGATTACAGCCAAGAAAACCCTATGGAGCAGTTCTACTCTATAAAACATGGGGCTGCAATGAGTTGGAATTGATTCGATGGTAACAAGAGCTTCTGATAAGTGAATTTGCTCCACAGCAGCTAACAACGACAACTAACAGCAGTAGTCTCTTATAGGACAAAACTCCCTTCCTTGTCATTTTTTCAGAAATGTCTTGGCTATTCTAGGTCTTTTTCTCATATTTTTGTTCCCTTTACTTTATTAGATAAATTTTAGAATCAGCTTATCCATAAAAAAAACCGCTGGGATTTTTGTTGGAGCAGAGAACTGGCATCTTTACAATATTAAGTCTTCCTATCCTTTAACTGGTATCTCTTTCCATAGCCCCTCTGGGAGAAGCAGTTTTGGGAGAGATTCTTCCTTGATTGTTAACACTAGCCTTGGGAATTTGGAGGGGGAGATGAGTACTCAAAGCTAGTTAGCTCTTCTGTGGACAGTGTTGGTTCAGTGGTAGAATGTTTACCTTCCATACAGGAGACCCAGGTTCAATTCCTGGCTAGTGCACCTCAAGCACAGCCCCACCACCTATCCATCTATCATTGGAGGTTTGCATGTTGCTATGATGCTGAACAGGTTTCAGCAGAGCTTCCAGACTAAGACCAGGAAGAAAGCCCCAGCAATCTACTTCCTGAAAAATCAGCCAGTGAACACCCTATGCATCACAATGGTCAGTTCCCATTGTGCTTGAGGTCACCATGAGTTGGGGGTAGACTAGAAGGCAGCCAACAACAGCAATAAAGCTGTTTTTTAAAAAGTTAAGGTAGTTTCAGAAGGGTTAATCCTTTGTCTAGGTTAGCTGTTGAAGAGGGGTCAGAAAAATAAACACTGGGTAAAGGCCATTAGTGATGAGTGGTTACCGTAGAGTAGTTGGAGCCGAGAGAAACATTGCAAGGTGTTACAGAATGGGAGTAGGATACTCATTCAAAAACACTGTCATTTTTAAAACTTGAAGCTGTTTGACATTTGAAGGAGATTTTGATGTATTTGTTTCTACCTGTATTAGTACAAGCATTAAACTTATATTAGTGTTTGTATTTAGTACAAGCATTAAACTTATGTTAGTGTTTGTATTTTGTAGGTTATGTATTTCATGTTTCGATTTGGTAGAGTTTACATTTTTTAATGTTCTTTTTTCTACAGAAGGTTTGAAGTCTCAAGTTGCACGCCACAGCCTGAACTACATACAGGAGATTGGAAGTGGCTGGTTCGGAAAGGTAAAACGTTTTTCTCTTGTACTCTTTTTCTCTTAGTTAAACTGTTTAGAATTTAAAGCTGATGAAGAATTGCATCGTGTGACATTACATATTCTCACTGGACGCTGTAGTCCTCGTGGAGTTTCCCTTTTGCTGCCTGAAATTGGTGGGAACGTGAGCTTCAGCATCCCTGAAGATCTTTCCATAAAGATCTTTTTTTAATGTATCAGAGACTTTTCTAATTGTTGGCATACGAACAGTTAGAAGGGAAAAGAGACTTGGAATTTTAGAAGATTCTTATCCTCCTGAAGTTAAGGGGGCCTGGTGGCGCAACAAAGTGGTTAAGCGCTTGGCTGGTAACCGAAAGGTCCGCAGTTTGAACCTACCCAGCGGCTCCATGGGAGAAAGACCTGGCAGTCTGTTCCCAAAAAGATTACAACCTAGAAAACCCTGTGGGACAGTTCTGCTCCGTCACACAGGGTTACTATGAATCGAAAAGTGACTCAGAGGCACCTACCAACAACAAGTTAAATTATTTGTTTTTTCTTTTTCTTTTTCTCCTTCTCTGCTCCTCCATAGATCCCTCCACCTCCCTTTATGACACTTAACCCACTTTAGAACTTCAGATAATGAAAACCTTTGGGAAGAACTGTTCCCTGTGAACAGTTATTTCTTATAGCCAGTCAAGTGCTGTAGTAACAGTGCTTTGCTGATCTTTTATCACAGAATTTTCTGAAGGAATAATCTTACAACAAACATCTCCACAATGTAGCAGTCATTCTCTGTAAAAGGTTCCTAACTGAGTGGCGATTGCATCATTAGCAGAGTGGTTAAGAGAGGAAGATGTGTTTGCTCTGTAGTCGACCATCTTATGCTTCTTGTCTTCCTGTTCAGAGTCGTCTGTCAATTCTGCATCTTCGATCGCTTCCAAGCTTCATTAGTTACCTAATCTTTTAAGCCATTTAGCAAAACCTGTTTTGTAGCAGACATTGTTCTCGGTGCTAGGGGCATGATGTGGAAGAAGATGGGTAAAGTTCTGGCCTGTGTGGCGGCTCTGGGAATGTAGCAGTGAACATAATAGAAGCCAGCCCTCACAAACCTTACATTTCTGGTGGGGTCTTCAGACAGCAAACCATCTGCAGTAGGAGCTGGGCCCACAGCAGTATAGAGGAGCCAAATGATATGAGACTGTGTGAACATCTGAAGGCTCAGACTTTCACTCAGTGAGGTGGGAAACACTGCGGGGGGAAGAGATGTGTAAGGTAATCCCATTTACCTTTTAAAAGGATCACTCTGGCAGCTACATAGAGAACATGTTGTAGAGGATCAAGGTGAAAGCAGGGAAATTGGTTAGAAAGTGTATTCGTCTCCTAGGGCTGCTGGAACAAATTACCACAAACAAATTTATTCTCTCACAATTCTGGAAGCTAGAAAGGAGCCCTGGTGCCACAGCAGTTAAAGCACTCGGCTGCTAACCAAAAGGTTGGTATATCGAACTCACCCAGTGACTCTATAGGAGAAAGACTTGACAATCTCTCCAGTAAAGATTATAGCCTACGAAACCCTGTGGGACAGTTCTCCTTTGTCATTTGGGGTTACTGTGAGTCGGAATCAACTCAGTGGCACCCAACAACAGAAGTCCATATTTAAGGTGTTGGTTTCCTCTGGAATCTCTGAGGGAGAATCTGTTCCATACCTCTCTTCTGGTTCCTGGTGGTTATCAGCAATCCTTGGCGTTCCTTGGCTTGTAGACACATCACTTCAGTCTCTGCCTTCTTCTTCACATGGCTGTCTACTCTCTGTGTATCTCCAAGTCTCTCTCTCTTTCGTAAGTGCACCAGTCGTATTTAGGGCCCACCCTAATCCCATGTGATCTCATCTTAACTTGATTATATCTGTAAAGACCTCATTTCCAAATAATGTCACATGCATAGGTTCCAAGTGGACATGAATTTGGGGGGGACACTGTTCAACACAGTACAGAGGCTACTGCGATCATCCAGGGAGAGATGATGGGGCATGAACCTGGATGATAGCTGTGGACCTGGTGAGAAGTGGTGGGACCCAAGATAGATTTTCAAATAAGAGCATATAGGATTTAGGATAGATTAGATACGAAGTCCGGAGGAATAGAGGAGCAAAGGGTGACTCTATCTTTGGCCTGATGAGCTGGAAGGATGGGGTTGCCATCAACTTAAATGGGAAAGTCTATAGGGAGAGCAGGCTTAGGGGAGGAAATCAGGAGTTCACTTTTGGATATGTTAGATTTGAGGTGGTTATTCGACATCTAAGTGGGGCTAGCAAGTAGACAGCTGAGTATGTAAATCTAGAGTTCAGAAGAAGGGTTCCAGGCTGGAGATGTAAATTTGGGAAAACTTAACCTATGTATGGTATTTAAAGCTACAGAAATGGATGAACTCACCTAGAATTTGAAAGTAAAGAAGAAAGGGAGTCCCAAGGACTGAGCCCTGAGGCACTGCAGCGTTGAGAGGCCAGGGCAATAAAGGACCAGTGAAGGAAACTGAGAAGGATCAACCAGTGAGGAGGAGGAGACCCAGGAGAGAGGAGTGTTCTGAACATCAGGCAAAGAAGGCACTCCAAGAAGATTATGATTATATTAAATGCCACATATAAATTGAATAAGATGAAGACTAGGAGAATTTGGGTTCAGCACTGTGAAGTCAGTCCTTGGTTACGTGAAAGAAGCTGTTTGGGCGAAATGGTGATGACATACCCTTACGTGGAACAGGTTCAGGAGAGAAGAGAGAAAGTGGAGACAGCAAATTTAGACAATTCTTTTGAGGTGTTTTGCTCTGAAAGGGAGCAGAGAAATGGGATGTACTGTGAACATTTGTAGAGCCAAGGGAAGGTTTTTTGATTTGCTTTGATTTTTTAATAAGATGGGAAGCTATTTCAACATGTTTTATGTAGAGGAAGAGAAATTAGAAATGCAGGAGCAGAGCCAGGGTAGTTGTAGGAGCAAATCCCTTGAGTGAACAAGAGGATAGGGATCCATGGCACAGTCGTGGGCCTTGACCTTAGGAGCAGAGACAGTTTCTCTCTCCAAAGGAAAGTGAAAGTAGCGTGTATGGATATAGGTTCATGTGGATTTGGTGGTATTAAGATGAGAAAGTTCACTCGTGATCACTTTTTCAGTGAATAAGAGGCAAAGTCCTCACTTCAAAGTAAGGAGGAGAAGGCTGTGTTGGAAGTTTTGGACAGGGGAGAAGGTGTGAAAGAGATCTCTGGGAAATAACATCAACTAGGGAAATGGAGGAGGATTGGTAGGCAATGCGGAGGACCCTCACATTTAAAATGAGACCACTCATTGTGGTTGTGTGTTTGTCTCTGTTTGGTGGTGTATTATAGGTAGGTAGTTGGATTTCACCAGCACTCAGGTTAGGCTAAGCTAATTCCTGGAGAGAGGCACAAGGAAGTGATGACAGAGAAGGAGTATGGAGTCTGTGCCAGCTAGGGAGGGGAGTGAGGACTCTAGTAGAAAAGTGGTATCACCAATGGACTTAGAGGGCCAAGTTGGACACTTGCCAGATTGAAATGTTGAAGTAAATGAGCTGGAAATGAAGGGGCTGTTAGAGAAGAAGAGGTTAAAATCAAAATGTTGGGCATAATATAATTATTTGGTAATGGTAAGTTAAGGAGCCCTGGCGGCACAGTGGTTAAGCTCTTGGCTGCTAACTGGAAGGTTGGTGGTTTGAACCCACCCAGTAGCTTTGCAGGAGAAAAGACCTGGCGATCTGCACCCATAAAGATTACAGCCTTGGAAACCCTATGGGGAAGTTCTACTCTGTCCCATAGGGTCTCTATGAGTTGGAATTGACTTGACGGCACACAACAACAATGATAAGTTGGATCTAGGCCCCTGGACGTCATTGTTAAGATGGGGTTGCAGAAAAAATGATTGGAAGTGAGGTTAAAGAACTAAGAGGTCAAGGCATTGAATAAGTTGTCCATGTGGATATTGAACACCAAGAATAATAACAGTGGTAGTGGAGAAAGAGAAACAAGCCAGATTATTGAATAGCCTACCATTATTCTTCCCCCTTTTTGAAACTGGTATCTTATGATTGTTTTGCTTGTTATACATGCACAAGTTTATGATTTGAAACAAATAGTATGACTTAGTTAATTATCAGAATTTCTTTATGCTTTCTGTTCATTTTATTGCCATTATATTCCTAATTGAGTTGTGTTCAAGTTCTTACTTTCTGTTTCCAGGGTATTAATGTTAATCTAATTATTTTGTGAAAATATTAAAAAATTATTTAGAAAGGAAGTTTTTTTTAAAGCTTTAATCAGCCTTTAAATAAAAACATTTACCTTATCATTTTCATCCTAAATATTGTATTTTGGAATGGCTTTGCACTGTTCTGTGTTATATTTAATATTTCTCTTTGAGTTTCTTGTATGAGGCAGCTCATTCTCAGTTTGGGCTTGGTTAATTTCAGTAGAATACTTTTCTGTGTGTTTTGACTGAAGTTTTGGTTCAAGATAAAGGCCTGGTATCTTTGGAATGCCATGATTCTACAGAGTTACAGTGCAATGATACAGTGTACTGGCTGTTTGTCAGTGTACTTTCTCATGAGAAGGAGGCTAACTTGTAAAACTCAGTTGAAGTGTTTTTAAGAAACATTTAAGTTATGGCTGAACTGAGTTTGTAAGTTGGTCGTATGTAGTGTTTGTTAATTTCCATGAAAGCATAATACATTTTTAAATAAATGGAAAAGAAATATTTAAAACTATATGAATGTTGTAAATATCTGATGAATAGTTTGAAATGATACCTTTTCTGAAGAAAAATATTTGAGTTTTCCAAGCTTTTTGTGAGGAAGTATGTAAAATACCAGAGGGCTGTCTGTTTGCTATTTAATTTGTTGTCCTGTGTTTCATTTCCTGATAATAGAGAAATACTTCTTTACAATTTTGATGGAAGTGACTTGAACAACTTCTTTGGTTTTAGGTGCTCCTTGGAGAGATTTACACAGGCACTAGTGTAGCAAGAGTCATAGTGAAGGAGTTAAAAGCAAGTGCAAGCCCAAAGGAACAAGATACTTTTTTGAAAAATGGAGAACCTTACTAGTAAGTAAACTTTAACATGTGTTCTGTAAACATGGTCTGTGGTCTGTTGAAATTCAAGTGTTTAAAACAACTTTTGAGATGTCCACCTGCAAAATATGCGATTTAAGTAAGAACCAGAGTCTCATTAACATAATACCCCAAATGTCCAGGTTTCAATAAAAAATCACTCGTCATTCCAAGAGCCAGAAGAACTCAACTTGAATGAGAAAGAACAAACAGATGCCAACATCCAGCTGACAGATGTTAGAATTATCTGACAAGGATTTTAAAGCAGCCGTCATAAAAATGCTTCAATGAGCAATTACAAGCATACTTGAAACAAATGAAAAGAGGAGTCTCAGCAAAGAAATGGGAAGTCTCAGTAAAGAAATAGAAGACTTAAAAATTTTGCAAGTGAAAAATATAATAACCAAAGTAAAATCAGTGGATGTGCTTAATGGCAGAATGGAAAGGACGGAGAAAAAATATGTGAACTAGATGATAAAACAATAGAAATTACCCAATTTGAACAACAGAGAGAAGATAGACCAAATATATATGTATATGTGTAGAGCCTCAAGGACATGGGGGACTCTAACAAAAGATGTAACATTCATGCGATCAGAGTCCCAGAATGAGAGTAAAGGGTGGGACTGAAAAAGCATTTAAAGAAATAATTGCTGAACATTTTTCCAAATTTAGAAGAGACATAAACTTACAGATTCAAGAAAGTGAGCGAATCCCAAACAGGATAAACCCAAAGAAATCCATGCCAAGACACATCATAGTCAAACTTTTGAAAACTAAAGACAAAAAGTCTCGAAAGCTGTGAGAAACAAACAACACCTTATCTATAGGGGAAAAACAATTTGAATGGCAGCAGAATTCTCATCAGAAACCATGGAGGCCAGAAGGAAATGGCACGTTTTTCAAGGGCTGAAAATAAAAAACTGTGAATCCAGGATCCTATATACACTGAAAATATCTTTCAGGAGTGAAGTGGCAATGGAGACATTCTCAGATGAAGGAAAACTAAGAGAACTTGTTACCAACAGGCCTACCTTAAAAGAATGGCTAAAGGAAGTTCTCTAAACAGACAGGAGATCATAAAAGAAGGGATCTTGGAAAATTAGGGAGGAAGAAAGCAATGGAAAGAACAAAAATATGGGTAAATATAATAGACTTTGCTTCTCCTCTTGAGTTTTCTAAATTATGTTTGATGGTTGACATGAACATCATAATATTGTCTAATGTGGTTCTCAAAGGATGCAGAGGAAATATTTAAGGCAATTATGTTACAAGTGAGGGAAGGTAAATTAAAGGGAGGTAAGATTTCTGCATTTCACTTGAAAGGGTAAAATGTTGACAGCAGTAGACTGTGATAAGTTATGTATATGTAACAATACCTGGAGGAACCATTAAAAATTTTGTACAAAGAGTTCTGCCCAGGAACATTGTAGATAAACCAAAATGAAATTCTAAAAATGTTCAGGTAACCCACAGGAAGGCAGGAAAATGAAAACAGAGATAAAGAATAGAGGGAACAACCAGAAAACAAAAAAATAGAATGACAGACTTAAGCCCTTAGCATATCAATAATTTATTAAATGCAAATGGTTAAATACACCAGTTAAGACAGAGATTAGCAGAGTGGATTAAAATAATGGAGCCAACTATATGTTGACTACAAGAAACTCACTTCAAATGTAGCAGTATAGGTATACTGAAAGTAAAAGTGTGGAAAAAGATGTTCCATGGGAACATTAATCCAAAGAAGCAGGAGTAGCTGTATTAAAATCAGATCGGGTAGACTTCAGAGTAAAGAAAATTACCAGAAACAGAGAGGGACATTACATAATAATGAAAGGGTCAATCCACTAAAAAGGCCTACTGCTGTATTCAGGAAACCACAGAGCTTTAAAATATGTGAGACTAAAATGGATAGAACTGAAAAGAGAAACAAGCTCACAGTTATAGTTGGGGACTTTAACACTCATTTCTCAACAATTGACACAAAATCGTCAAGGATATAGAATTCAACAATACCATCAACCAAAGGGATCTAATCGACATTTATAGAGCACTCCACCCAACAACAGGAGAATACACATTCTTGTCAAGCATCCATGTAACATATACCAAAACCAAACCAAACCTGTTGTCATCGAGTCGATCCTGACTCATAGTGACCCTATAGGACAGAGTAGAACTGCCCCATAGGGTTTCCAAGAAGCAACTGGGGGATTCAAACTGCCGACCTTTTTGGTTAGCAACTGAGCTCTTAACCACTATGCCACCAGGGCTCCATGTAACATCTGTCAAGACAAAGCACATCCTGTGCCGTAAAAGAAAGCTCAATAAATTTAAAGAATTGAAACTATACAGAATGTTTTTCTTTGACCATAATGCAGTCAAACTAAAAATTAATAGCAGACAGGTAACAGAAAAATCTCCAAATATTTAGAAACTAAACAACACATTTCTATGGCTCAAAGAGGAAGTCTCAAGGGAAATTAAATCAAGTATATTCACCTGAATGCAAGCAAAAATACAGCATAATAAAATTTGTGAAATGCAGTTAAAGCAGTGAGGACAGGGAAATTTGTAACACTAAATTTATAGCTTACATGAGAAAAGAGGAAAAGTCTCAAATCAATAATCTAAGTTTGCAATTTAAGAAATTAGGGAAAAAAAGGGCAAAATAAACCCAAAGCAAGCAGAAGGAAGCAGATACTAGAGAGCAGAAATCGATAAAATTGAAAACAAAACTGACGGGTAAAATCAATGAAACAAAAGCCTAGTTCTTGGAGAAGATCAATAAAATTGACAGATCTCAAGCTAGATTGACAAAGAATAAAAGAAGACCAGATTATTAATATCAGGAAGGAAACAGGGATATCACTGCCAATCCTACAGACAACAAAAGGATAATAAGGGAATACTACAACTCGACGACAACAATTTTAATCTCAGTGAAACTCATTTGATAAGGCAGAGATTGATTGAGTCAGTAAAATTTAATAGTTACTGAATATTTGAATAGTATGCATCTGTTGAGTATATTCTTAATGTGACCTTTTCAGTTTGTCATATTTAAATAATTAGGAATATTAAAATTTGGGTTACTGTTGAAACAGTATACTAGCATGCTTCCTAATGAACAATACCATGACTTTTGTTTTTCCAGTGTTCTTCAGCATCCAAATATTCTTCAGTGTATTGGACAGTGTGTAGAAGCAATTCCCTATCTTCTGGTGTTTGAGTTCTGTGACTTGGTAAGTTTTTAGTAGAAATACAAGTTCAAGCCTTTGAAAGGTAATACTCAAGTGTTTTTTAATAATATTTATTGTGTTTTTGGTGAAAGTTTATACAACAGTTAGGTTCCCATTTGACATTTTCCACACGAATTGATCAATGACATTAGTTACATTTTTCACATTGTGTCAACATTCTCTTTTATGTTCTGGTTGTTCCATTTCCCTGTCTCTAGTTTCCCTGCCCCCTTATCTTCTCATCTTTGCTTTGGATTAAATGTTGACCTTTTGGACTCATACACATTTTTTTTTTGTAGAGCACTGATCTAATGGGTAATATCTTTTATTTTGTGTGTCACTCTGCTTTTCTACTAAAAGGTGATCTCAGGATAGTTTTGGTACCAGGTTTAGAGAGCATCTCAGGGCGATAGTCTCAGGGAGTCCTCTGGTTTCAGGCAGTCCAGTTAGTCTGGCCTTTTTAAGAATTTGAGTTTTGTTCTGCATTTTTCTCCCATTCTAACTGGGGTCTTCTGTTGTGCCCCAGGCCAGATCTCTCAGCGGTGATAGGCAGGACTCAAGGGTTTTTGGCAGATAAAAATGCTGGATAAGGGACTACTTTCACTTCTGCCTCCCATTTGAAGAACTGTGTGATGCATTAATTCATAACGTATTAGCTGACAATTATGTAGTGCCTTATTATACTCTGGTCCCTGTACTGAACCATTTTCTTGTATTATCACATTTGGTCATAACAGATGCCTGAATTAGTAGTATTTGTCCACATTTTACATATGATTAAAATAAGGCTCAGAGAGATGAAGAAAACGTTGTGGACCAAAGTATATGGCCCAGCCAGAGCTTGGTTAGGTGTGTCCCTTCTGAGAGTTTGCAGTCTCAACTACAGCTGTTGTTGTTAGGTGCTGTTGAGTCAATTCCAACTTGTACTGACCCCATGTGACAGAGTGGAACTGCTCCATAGGGTTTTCTTGGCTGTAATCTTTATGGAAGCAGATCGCCAGATCTTTCTGCCACAGAGCGACTGGGTGGGTTCAAACTACCAACCTTTCAGTTAGTAGCCCAGTGCTTAACCATTTGCATCACCAGGTCGCCTTATTGTCATTGGTAGAGGTGACTTTCAAAGAAAAATTGATAAGCTTGATGTATGAGATAGCTTTGATTGGATTATGTCATAGTAACACCCCAAATCTCAGTGGCTAATAGTATTAGAGGCTTAGTTCTCACTCATCTTACACGTTGGCCATGGGTCAGCTGCAGCTCAGTTCCAGACGACACGTCAGCTTCACTCACTCTAGGATCAAGCGGAAAAGAGCAGCCTCCGTTTGAGACATGTTATTCTTGTGGCAGAGGTAAAAGAGCAATGGCCAGCTCACACAGGGAGCCCATTTGATAAGGTAGAGAGTGATTGACTCAATAAATTTTAATGTTTGTCTAATCCCTGCTATGTGCCAGATGGTGTTGTAGGTGCTAGGAATGTAGCAGTGAATAAAGCTCTGTGTTTATCCTCATGAAGTTTGCATGCTTGTGAGGAGAAACAAACAGTAAGCAAATTTCATAGTCTGTCGGGCAGGTACTGTGGAGGCGTGAGTTGTGAAGTGATGGGTTAGCACCCTTTTTGGATAGGGAGCTTGGGAAGCATCTCTGGTAAGGTGACATTTGAGCAGAGTCCTGACTGATTATCTTAACATCCATTATTTACTATCAGTCAGTTCTCCAGACTGTGGTTGGTTAGCTTTTTAACTTCTCCCCAGCTCATTGATTAATCCAAGTAGATCATATAGAGAAACTATATAGTTCATATAGCGAAATTCTTACTAAAAGAGTCTACCATCTACCTAGATCCCCCCCCCCCCGCCATTTTTGTGCTGATTTTGCAATAGGGTATCATTTTAATAGTAATAACCAGTTTGACAAAACACGATTTTCCTTTATTCGATGGGGACTTTGTAAGACAAACTATTTTGGCACTGATAAATCTAAACATATTCCACTTTGTGCATGGTTATATAAATCCTTTGTTGACGGCTGCCTTTCTGCAACAGTACAGTTTGCATGGAGATAGAGGTGCACTTTGTGAGCATCATGGCTTAACTGTTCCCTGTCAGCAAAAGAAACAGCTAAGGCTGTTTGGGCCATTATGAGGCAAACTGTGGGTGGAACAAAGTTTGTGTAAGTAAAAGCTAAATAGCCTCATGATTCTGCTCGCTAAGCCTTGTTCCAGTTAGCTTAGAGGTCCAGAGAAATTTGATGCCCTTGTTTGTAATCAGTGTTAATGCTGGCCTCATAAAAAGTTTGTGGTCCCTGTCTACCATGGCCTCTACCAGACTGAGTCCAGCACAACTAGATGGTGCCCAGCTACCACCACTGACTGCTCTGACAGGGATCACAATAGAGGGTCCCTGACAGAGCTGAAGAAGAATGTAGAACAAAATTCTGACTCACAAAAAAAGACCAGACTTACTGGCCTGACAGAGAGTGGAGAAACCCTGAGAGTATGGGCCCCGGACACCCTTTTTTAGCTCAGTAATGAAGTCACTCCCAAGGTTCACCCTTCAGCTAAAGATTAGACAGGCCCATAAAACAAAAGAAGACTAAAGGGGCACAACAGCCCAGGGGCAAGGACTAGAAGGCAGAAGGGGACAGGAAAGCTGATAATAGGGAAACCAAGGTCGAGAAGGGAGAGGTTTGACATGTTGTGGGGTTGTCAACCAGTGTCATAAAACAATATGTGTACTAACTCTTTAATGAGAAACTAGTTTGTTCTGTAAACCTTCATCTAAAGTACAATTAAAAAAAAACAAAACCCTCAAAAGATTAAAAAAAAGTTGTGGCCCCTCTTCCCTATCTGGGACAGACTGTGAAAGATTGGCATTATTTCTTCTTGAGTGCAGAACTCACTTTTTTTTTAAACATTTTATTGTGCTTTAGGTAAAGGTTTACAGAGCAAATTAGCTTCCCAATCAATAATTTATATACAAATTGTTCCGTGACATTGGTTGCAATCCCTGCTATGTGTCACCCTGAGTTCCCCTTTTCCATTCATCTGGTTTTCCTGCCTTCTTATCTTTGTTTTTGGGCAGATGTTACCCTTTTGGTCCCATATAAATGATTGTTCTAAGAAACACTTTCCTCATGGGTGTTGTTATTTTTTTTATAGGCCTGTCTCTTATTTGAGTGAAAGATTATCTCCAGGAGTGGCTTCAGTTCCAAGTTAGAAGGGTGTCTAAGGCCCATAGCCTCAGGGGTTCCTCCAGTCTCTGTCAGACTAGTAAGTCTGATCTTTTTTTTATCAATTTGTAGAACTCACTTTTGAAGCCATCTGAGCCTGAAGTTATCTTTGTGGGAAGATTTTTAACTATGAATTTAATTTATAGAATACTGTTCAAGTTTTTTGCTCCTTGAGTCTATTTTGCTTTATTTTCCAAGGAGGTTGTTCATTTCATCTATATTATCAAATTTGTTGGCATATAGTGTACATACTATTCTCTTTAATGTCTGTAGCATCTGTAGTTAAATGCCTTTTTTCATTCCTAATATTGTTTGTTTTCTCTTTTTTTTTTTCCCTGGGTCATTCTCTTCAAAGGTTTATCAGCTTTTCAGAAAACCAATTTTTTATCTCTATTAAGTACTGTTTTATTCATTTCTGTTCTTTATTATTTCCTTATACTTTGAGTTCATTTTGCTGTTCTTCTTCTGACTTCTTATAGTGGAAGTTTAGCTTATGAAATTTCAGTATTCTCTTGTAATACATATATTTTAAAGTTATCTTTGTAGCTTATTATGGTGTTGTCAGAGCATGGTCTGTTGAATTTTACTTCTTTGAAATCTGTTGAGACTTCTTGATAGCCCAATATTTGGTCATTTGTGTGTGTGTGTGTGTGTGTGTGTGTCTGTAGATGCTGGCAAAAAAAAAAAAATGTTCTGCTCTTGTTCTCTCTAGTGTTCTGTATGTGTCTTTTGGGTCAAGCTAATGAGGTTTCTCAGTCTATAACCTTCTGGTGTTTATTGGGGCAAGGAAGGAGTTGAATCCATTTCCTATCAATGATTGAGAGAGGCATGTTAAAATCTCCCGCTCTGATTGTGGATTTTCCTTTGTAATTCTGGTCGTTTTTGCTTTATGTATTTTGAGACTGTTGTGTTAGAGGTAGACATTTAGAGTTGTTATAACTCACTGTGATTTTAACCTTTTATCATTATGCAAGGGCTCTCTTTAAGGCTAAAAACATTACTAAGGATCAAGTCCATTTTCACTGATATGAATACAGTTTCTTTTGCTTAGAATTTGTCTGGTTTATTTCTGTCAGCTCTTCTCTACTCTGGTTTACATCTCTTGTAAATAGCTTCTTGCTAAAGTTTTTACTAGTTTGGCAGTGTTGATCACTTAACATGCGCTTTGTTGTTCATTTACATTTGTTGTAATTACTGAGATATTTGTTATTATGTCCACCTACTTCATATTATTTTTTTCTACCCGTTTCAGTTTTTTTTTTTTTCTTGCCTTCTTTTTGGATTCCTGATTTTTTTTTCTTATTTTAATTTTCCTCATCTACTAGTTTGAATTTTAAATATCCTCTTTCTTAATTTATATACAGTTACACTAGAAATTACAACATGCCTACTTAACAGTCTAAAATTCATCAGTATGTTGTCCCCCCGACAAAAAAAAAAAGTTGGGCTCCCTCAGAGCTATCCCTCGTGTAAGGAAAATTGGAATTAAACCTACTTTTCTTTGCTGTCTCCATATGCTCTTCCATCATGGAGGGTGCTTATTTATTGAACTCTTACTGTAGTGAGGCAGCGCGCTGCGCCCTAAGGGATTCAAGGACAAACTGTGTGGTTATTGTCCTCTAGGTCTCCTCGTTAGAGAGAATGGGCAGGCAGACACGTGCACTGATAACTACCATTAAGCCTGGTAAATTCTTTTCTAGAGACTTGAGGAGGGAGTTCTCAGCAGCATTTCTGATAGCTTTATTGAATGTTTTATTTTGTTTATCTCAATACGA